TTTTTTTTGAGACAGAGCCTCAAGCTGTCCCCCTGGGTAGAGTGCCATGAGATCATAGCTCACAGCAACCTCCAACTCCTGGGCTCAAGCTAGTCTCCTGCCTCCACCTCCCAAGTAGCTGGGACCACAGACGCCCACCACAACGCCTGACTATTTTTTTGGTTGCAGTCATCATTGTTGTTTGGTGGGCCCAGGCTGGATTCGAACCCACCACCTTAGGTGTATGTGACTGGCACCTTAGTCACTTGAGCCACAGGTGCTGAGCCAGTTTTATAGATTCTAAAACAGAGAACTGATGTAGATGTCTACAAAAAAGAGGGGGAAAAAACCCCAGAAAACTCCCAAAACAATGTTAAGGATTTGCCTAGAGATAAGGTCCATTTGTATCTGACAGTTTGCCCCGCACCCTCTCTGTAGCATTCCCTGGCCCCCTGCACCAATGGTACATTATAATAATCATCATATTAGTACCCAAGGAAGCCTTTATAGTCTTTTTTTTAAAGACAGAGTCTCACTTTGTCACTGCTCAATAGAGTACTGTGCTGTCATAGCTCACAGCAACCTAAATTCTTGGGCTCAAGCCATTCTCCTGCCTCAGCCTCCCAAGTAGCTGGAATTACAGGAGCCTGCCACAATGCCCAGCTAGTTTTTTAGAGATAGAGGGTGGTGATGGGGTCTTGCTCTTGCTCAGAAACCTGGGAGCTCAGGCAATCCACCTGCCTCAGCCTGCCAGAGTGCTAGAATTACAGAGCTCCATGCCTTTAAATATCACATCACAAAAATTTTACCAAATAAACCTGAGTGGCCTGATGTAATGAGTTTCTCTGTTTAGACTAGATGGTCTTTTAGGAAGATAAGCAGTGTGACTAATTATTCAATAGCTTGTCTGTATTTAAAAAAAGAAGAGACTACTTTCTAGGAAAAAAAGTAAATCTTGAGTTTCCTTTTCCTTATTTATAGGATGTGTTTATAACATCATGAGGTGGATTTTAGGAAATCCAAGATGGGCAAGAGGGTGCAGTGGGTATACACTTTGATCCTCCCTGTCAAGGACCAATGATAATTCATTAAAAAGAGAAACTGAAAAGACATAGTCATGCTTGACTAAGATGTAGGTGTCTCAATAGAATGGAGACACAAAACTGTGAACAGGCTAAAACTACAGGCCTGCTGCACTCCAGATTCAGAACTAAAAAGCGGTAGCCAAACAAAAGTAACAGTTTCTGCAGGGTACAGGGGACTAAAAATGCTTTGTGTGAGGTAGGTGACAACAGCAGGCTCCCTGCTTAAAGTTAAGGGTTCACTAAGCTACACTGGGCATCAAGAGAACAGTCAAAAACAAACTCCTCTCACTCGAAATAAGCTTGCAAAACTCAAATGCCAAGAAATGAAAACATGTAACGTAAAGAAAGACACACAACAGAATAACTGAACTGAATTCACCCCAGATGAAATTAATCATGCCTGTGTAATAAAGCTCCCACAAAACCCTGAAAGGATAGGATACAGACAGCTTCTGGACATAGCTGAACATGTGGAGTTAGTGGGGGATGAGGTTCCCAGAGAGGGCATGGAAGCCCCATACCTCTTCTTATACACACTGCCCTATGCACCTCTTCCATCTGCTGTTGGTAACCTTTGTCATAAGGCAGTAAATATTAAGTGAGTTAGTATTCTGCTCAGTTCTGTGAGCTGTTCTAGCAAATTAGTTAAACTACAAAGAGGGAGTCAAATGAACCCTGACTTATAGCCTGCTGGTCAGAACACAGGTAAAACCACCTGGGGCTTGCAACTGGTGCCTGAAGTAGGGGGAGGCAATCTTCTGTGACTGAGCCCTCAACCTGGGGGTTCTGATGCTGTCTCCAGGTAGACAGTGGGAGCAATCTCACACAACTGGTCAGAAGTGCCTGTGTTGTGAGAGTACATATAGGAGAAACTCAGTTTGCTTTTTCCTACACGGAAGACTTGAGGCTGATTCCAAATTTCTGTCATTAACACCCTAGCAAATGCCCTTGTGCACACATCTTGCCTAATAGTTTTAGATGAGTTTCTACAAGTGAAACTAAGAACAAACAGCATCCACATTTTATACTCTACACTTATTGATCAAATGTTCTAGAGGGAAAATAAAAGGTAGTTTCTGGAGGAAAAAGTATTAGCTCTTAAAAAAAAATGGTATTTTCACTTCTTTCATCAGTAGTAGTTAAGTATCTTTTCACATGTCTACCGGGAACTGGCATTTTTAAATGTGAAAATTGCTTGCTTATGTGTCTTACACATTTTTCTACTAGAGTGTTCATCTTTTTCCTACTGATTTAAGAACTCTTTGAATTTTAGGATTACTAATTCTGCCATAAATGTCACAAAATTTTTTTCCTGTTTGATGTTTTCTAGGTATTGTTTATGGTATTTTTTTTTTTTTTTCTGGAGACAGTCTCACAATGTCACCCTTGGTAGAGTGCTGTGGCGTCTCAGCTTAAGGTGATTTTCTTGCCTCAGCCTCCTGAGTAGCTGGGACTATAGGCACCTGCCATAATGCCCGGCTATTTCTTGTTGTTGTTATGGTCATTGTTTAGCAGGCCCAGGCTGGGTTCCAACCTGCCAGCCCTGGTGCATGTAGCTGGCGCCCTAATCACTGAGTTACGGGCATCAAGCCTGTTTATGGTATTTTTTTTTCCTATACATTTTTCTTTTTTTTGCCATCAAACTATCTTTTTCCTTGGTGACACGTGAATTTTGTAATGCTTAGGAATAGTTTTCTCCACTCCAAGATTACAAAAATGACAATCAAGTTTTCTTTTAGTATTGGTGTGGTTTCTTTTTTCATATTAAAAATTTTAATCTATCTGAAACGTACCTAATTTAAGGTAGAGGCAATAGTTTACGTATTTACTGTGAACTGACTCTCTTGTTCATTATACCTTGATAATGGTTGTAGTCTTAATGTTTATCTTGTAAACTACCTTATTTAATTCTCTCATAAATTTTAATAATCTTTCTCTTGGGATTCTTATTTTTTTTTGAGACAGAGTCTCACTTTGTCACCCTCGATAGAGTGCCATGGTGTCACAGTTCACAGCAACCTCGAGCTCTTGGGCTTAGGTGATTCTCTTGCCTCAGTCTCTCGAGTAGCTGGGACTACAGGCGCCTGCCACAATGCTTGGCTGCAGTTTGGCAGAGTTTGAACCTGCCACCCTCAGTATATGGTGCTGGCGCCCTACCCACTGAGCCACAGGTGCCGCCCTTCTCTTAGGATTCTAATGTAATAATCATATCACACATAATAACAATTCTGTCTTCTTTCCTCTAATTTTTATCTCTTATTCCTTTTTTTCTTGGCAGGAGATAGTAAATAACAAAGGTGATTTTGGGCACTGTTGTCTGATTTCTGACTTTAGTAGGAAGCCCTCTAATGCTTCAGAGTTATCTATATTTGAATATTAGTCTCTGGAACATTTTCTTAATATTTCTCACCTTCTTAAACACTTTAATACACTTTATGAGCTGTTTTAGATAACCTATTTCTCTTATAAAAAGCTGTGCAAATATGTATGAATCCATGTCTTTTTGCTTTTCAATAAATCCCCCAATAAAGCAGATTAGTAATGCCTATAGAATACTTCCAAGCAAGGAAGAAATCTGTCTTATTTAAAGGGCATGCTTTTTCATTCTTTCAACATTATTTTAAAATCTCTCTTTCTCTCTTTTTTTTTTTAGGTTTTTGGGCGGGGGTCGGTTTGAACTGGCCACTGCCAGCATATGGGGCCAGCGCCCTACTCCTCTGAGCCACAGGCGCTGGCCCAAGTATCTCTTTCTCATAAAACTTGGCTCCTAACAACTTTTGGCAAGACTATGCCATGTCTAACAGAGTTCTACAACAGTTTACCTCTCAGAGTGGCTAGCTGAGAGAATACATTAAAATCATACTTTTTCTTTCTTTTTTTTTTTGAGACAGTCTCTCTCTTTGTTGTCCTGGTAGAGTGTCGTGGCATCATAGCTCACAGCAACCTCAAACTCCAGAGCTCAAGCAATACTCTTGCTTCAACTTCCTGAGTAGCTGGGACTACAGGCGCCTACCCCAACACTTGGCTATTTTTAGAGAGGGGGTCTCACTGTACCTCAGGCTAGTCTCGAATTCCTGAGCTCAGGCAACTCTCCTACCTTGGCCTCCCAGAATGCTGTGATTACAGGTGTGAGCTACTACTGCTCTCCTGGCCCTATCTTTTTTCTTTTTTTTTTTTTGAGACAGAGTCTCATTTTGTTGCCCCAGGCTAGAGTGCTGGGTGTCTCATAGCTCACAGCAACCTGAAACTCTTGGGCAATCCCCCTACCTCAGCCTACTGAGTAGCTAGGACTACAGGTGTGCACCACAATGCCTGGCTAGTTTTTCTATTTTTAGTACCGAGGCGGTCCTCATTCTTGCTCAGGCTAGTCTCAAAATCCTGAGCTCAAGCAATCCTCCCACCTCAGCCTCCCAGAGTGCTAGGATTACAGGCGTGAGCAAAAGCGGTCAGCCTATAATTATACATGTAGATAATCTTTGTCTTGTTTCATGACATATTTGCTCTTTATCTTATGTACCCTATCTACACAAATGTAGATTCTAGAAAACAAATTGAAATTTTAAGTTTAACCAAAAATTCAAGGGGAAAATGAAGAACCTTATGTGTTGGACACGGCCCAAAAGGACAGGAAATGTCCTCTTACCTGCACCTCGATTTGCAGATCCTTGTCTAGAAGCGCCCTCTTCTTCAGGATCTCAGCTCTGAGTTGCTCTTTGTGCTTGAAGAGCAGAGCTGAGAGCTTGGTGGCATTCTGCTTGCTGCGTTTCTGCTCTACACTCTCTTCGCGCTTCCTTTTCTTAGCTGCCTGTTTTTCTTCTTTATCTATCTTATCCAAAATATACTTCATCACCTGGTTACAGACAATCATTCTAGAGAAAGATACACAACCCATGTAATGCTGGTATTTCATTCTGAAAGGTTTAAAACATGATTCTTCTACACCTCTACAGATGGGACACAAGCTCTGCGAATGGAAAGCTTCCAAGTGTGATGCAAACCATTTATGAGCAACTATGAGGACTAAGTGTTCCCATTTAATGAACTTCAATCAAGGTAAAAAAAAAAAAAGTACAAAGTTGGAAATCTGTGCACGTGCATGCTAAAGAAAAGAGATGAGAAGACAAGACCCTGTGTCTTCCCTACCTTTGATTTTCTTCTCTTTCAGCTGGAGTCATGCTCTTTTTCTGTTTTAAATGTTCAATTACAGCATTATGCTTCATCACCACCTTCAGGACAGAACAAATCCAAAAGCATATTTTATAATGATCACAAGTAAGTATAGATAGCAACAGTAGAAACCTGAGCACATAAATTTGTCAAAGAACCTGTAAGAATTTTATAACACAACACAAATACAATGAGCAGCTACCAGACGGCTTGTGTGCTTACCATGAGCTGGGTGCCGTGCTAAGCTAACCATCTGACAATGCCTCATTTCTTCCTGGTAACAACACTGAACCACAGAGATGATTTTATAAATGAGATACTGACAACACACAAAAAGTAACTGACTTGTTTGAGATTAAATAGTAAGTAATATGCTGAAATTTTCACCTGGCTGTCAATCTCCAAAGGTTGTGTTTTTAAGTTTGTTTTGCTCCCAGGCATTAATTTTAAAGAGTTGCCCCTCACCCGCCCCCCCCCTTACAAAAAAGATTAGGGGATAGATGGATACCGTAATAATTCTCAATTGATAGAGTGAGCACACAGTACTGAAAGCTGGGTAACAAAGCATTTGAACACACCACATATGACACCAATTTGTATAGGAATATTACCTTTACATCTTTATTTATTTATTTTTTTGAGACAGAGCCTCAAGCTATGGCCCTGGGTATAGTGCCGTAGTATCACAGCTCACAGCAACCTCCATCTCCTGGGCTTAAGTGATTCTCTTGCCTCAGCTTCCCAAGTAGCTGGGATGTGACACTGCCCGGCTATTTTTTGGCTGTAGTTGTTATTGTTTGGCAGGCCCAGGCCGGGTTCGAACCTGGCAGCTCTGGTGTATGTGGCTGGCGCCTTAGCTGCTTGAGCTACAGGCACCATCACCTTTACATCTTTAAAATCACTTTGCTGTTTCAAAAATACTTCTACATAATGACCTCATTTAGCCATTACAATAATCTTGTGTGGCTGGAAAGAGAGGGGTTTTAGTGGGGATATAGCTCAGGGGAGATAAGTGAGTTTAATGAACTGTGAATGGAAGATGTAGGAAGTGAATGAAGGTCTCATGACATGGAAATCCACACTCAAACTCCTGCCTAGCGCCGAGTGGAGCACACTGTAAATAACAAGAACGTTTTCTCCAGTAATGCTATAGGTATTATATACACAACTTGATTTTAGTAAAATAATTCAAACTCATTTAAACTACTTTATTTCTTCTCTAAAATGCAAATGCAAAATGTCATTGCATAATGCCACTTTTTAGTTAGGCTATGGAATAATATGCACTGAAAACTTTTTTACAAAGGTGTCACTAGAAATGCAAATGAGTCTGCCTACAATTTGAGTAGTCTACATGCAAACTAAGAAATGACAACTATAAATAACTTCAAACAAATGGCTATGATGCCTGAGGTGGCTTAAAATTTAGACCTTCAAGTTCTGCATTGATGATGCTTACAACTTATAACTCTGAGCTTCTTGTCTTAGTCCTTCCAAAATACAGGTAGTTTGTAATAAGCACTGACTCTATATATATGTCCAACGAAGAGTTCCAAACCATAGTAGTCATTCAATACTTCCTGGTTCAATCCAGTGCTGCTTCTATACGTAACCATCAATGACTTTCAACCAAACACTAAGTCTAATGCACAGCACAATAATTCAAGCTACTGAACATGCTGCTTTTACTTAATAACTTTACCTGTTTCTGAATGATTTCACTTTGATTAGAAGCTTGGAGGGTGTGTTCACGCTTAATTTCTATCTGTTGCTGTTTCTTCTTTTGCTGCTGATCCCTGAGTTGCTGAACCCTTTGCAACTGCTCTTGCACACTGGCTGCCTGCACTGTAACCACATTCTGAATCTGGTGAGTCTGCACAGCACTGCTTTGCTGAATTTGAATAGGTAACTGAAGTTTGATTTGCTGGGGCACACCACCTTGCTGAGCCTGTATCTGAGCCACAACCTGTGACTGGATCTGAGAGAGAACCTGGACTTGTTGTTGCAGCTGAGGCACAGCAATGACTTGGGGCTGTGGCTGCTGTATTTGTAGCTGAGGACAGGATGGGGATGAAACAGTAACTTGATTTAACGTTTGTCCTGATGAAAGAGTTTGAGTTGAAGACTGTACCTGGGGTTGTGATTGTGGCTGGCCTTGGGAAGGTATCTGAAGAGATGTATGTGGTTGAATAGGAATCGGTTGTGAGGTTGTAGTCTGAACCTGGGATTGCTGTCCAGGAGACACTTGGGATGGAGTTGATGGACGTATTCGAGTCTGTGGTGGACTTTGGACACGAACAGGAGACTGTCCTTGGATATTACTTTGAGGCTGACTCTGTGCTGCAACTTGGGGTTTGGATGACTGTGCTTGGGTGGGTTGTGCTTCAGATGGAACAGGGGATGAAGCAGTTGTTTGGGTCTGAACTTCAGGTTGAGTCTGAACTTCAGGCTGAGTTGGGGATTGGGGTTGGGTTTGGGGCTGGGGCTGAGCTGAAGGCTGAATGGTCTGTGGCTGAGCTTCTGGAGGACTCACACTTGATGACTGAGTGGGTGGCAGCGTTTTGGCTGGTTGCACCTGTGTCTGGGGTGATAATTTACTCTGTTTTTGTTCACCCGTACCTGTGAAAAGGAAAGACAAATGATTTCTATTATTCTAGAACATAAGTTGGTGGTTAAAGAAGAATTTGAAGGGGATGTTCTAGAGTTGAGAATTCTTTATTTCAGTATAGAAGATTTATGCCTTCGAAATGCTCCATATAGACATGTTCTGGTTAGCAATCTCCTAAATTGTGGAGCCTGGGCCCTGTTTCTTGGCTGTCCTCCATTCAGTTTGCTAACTCTCCAGAGGGCTGGCTTCCAAAACAAGGTGTAGCCTCTGGAAGCCAGCCAGGTCTTCTGGCTCAGAGTAATTGCCAAGCCTCACTTTCCTTAGGGCAACGTGGCAGTTAGTGACAGGCCTTATAGTAGGAGGCTAACAAAGTGGCTCTGGACCTGCAGCTCTCCATCGTAGGTTATGAGCTAGACGTATGTGCCCTCCCTGAGACCACCTCCACGACTCAGTCACCATGATAGCCATTATTCTGCCCCCTTTCTATATCTTTTTTGAATGGGGGTAGGTAGAGGAGTGGTGGTAATAGGGAGTCTCTAAGAAAAAGGAATGAAAGCACCGAAATGTCATGAGGCTGACTGTGTCAACCATTAAGCTCATTGGCTTGAGGCAGATCCTCCCAAAGATAAGCTTTAGTTCTTCTTTTCTTTATTTGTTTCCTTCTTTTTCTTTTGAGTCAGGATCTTGCTCTGTTGCCCAGGTTCAAGTGCAGTGGCATCATCATAGCTCACTGCAACCTCAAATTCCCAGGCTCAAGAGATCCTCCTGCCTCAACCTCCTGAGTAGCTGGAACAACAGGTGTGCACCTCCATGCCTGCTAATTTTTCAGTTTTTGTAGAGATGGGGTCTCACTATTGCTCAGGCTGGAAGTACTGGTTCATTTAACCCATTAGCCCAACAACGTGCAGTAGTAACACCCGGCATTTCCGGCAAACCCACAGCTCTACCTGCTGCCGGAGTGGAGACAGTGGTGGTAGTGGTGGTACTGGCTGTTGTGGCTGTTGTTGCCAATGGAGTAAAGAGGAATCGCTGAACGGTACCGTTTGGCATTGCAGCTTGCATTAGCTGCTGTCCTGGGCCTGGGAGTATAGTCACCCCTTGAGGTATCAACTGCAACTGTCCAGTAGTTTGACCTTGTCCTTGAATTACTACTGTCAAACCCTGATTGCCACCCTGTGGAAAAAAAAACACAATATGCAAACAGTTATATGATACAAAAGATCAGCCTGTATGTGCAGCATTTTCATTTTCTTAGAGACGGTCTTGTTCTGTTGCTTAAGGTGGAGTGCAGGGGCCATTCACAGGTGCGGTAATAGTGCCTAGAAGCCTCAGATTTCTGGCTTCAAGCAATCCTTTTGTTTCCGCCTCCAGAGCAGCTGGAACTAAAGGCATGAGGGAGGGAGGAAAAGAGGGAGAGAAGGAGGGAGGAAGGGAGGAAGGAAAGAAGGAAGGAAGGAATGAAGGAAGGAAGGAAGGAGCCGGGTGTGGTGGTCACGGCTGTAATCCTAGCACTCTGGGAGGCAGAGGTGGGTGGATTACTTGAGTTCAAGAGACCAGCCTAAGCAAAAAAAAAAAAAAAAAATAGTGAGACCCCCCCCATCTCTACTAAAAATAGAAAAACAGAGACAAGAAGATTGCTTGAGCCCAAGAGTTGAAGGTTGCTGTGAGCTATGACATCATAGCACTCTATCAGGGTGACAACTTGAGACTCTATCTCCATTTAAAAAAAAAAAGGTGTGTGCAAATATACCCACCTTGTATAGCATTTTTATTAAGTCATTTTTATGCTTTAAAGATCCTTTAATATAATGAAAATGTGTTTTGTTTTGTTTTTTTTTGGAGACAGAGCCTTACGCTGTCCTGGGTAGAGTATTGTGGCATCACAACTCACAGCAACCTCCAACTCCTGGGCTCTGCCTCCCAAGTAGCTGGGGCCATAGGCACCTGCCACAACGCCTGGCTATTTTTGGTTGTAGCTGTCACTGTTGTTCGAATCCGGGCTAGATTCAAACCCGCCACCATAGGTGTATATGGCTGGCATCTTAGCCACTTGAGCCACAGGTGCTGAGCCGAAAATGTGTATTTAAATATCTATGAATGGAACTACCAGGTATTTAGATAAGCTATAATATTTATATTACTTAGTGGGAAAAACATCAACAATCCTGAATTCAAGTTCTAGTTCAAGTTTTCCCAATGGTCAGCCAGGCATCTATCAGCAACATCATTCCTCCAGTTTCTCACTTTATAGTACAAGGACGCTGAAGTGAATAACTATGGTCTCACAAAATTCAGATTTTAAACTATTATATATTCATATTTCAAATTTTAAAGCATCTTCACGTATTGTCTCATTTGACTCTCACAACAGATCTGTGACTTTAAGGAGCAGGCAGAGGAAATACTACTATTATCTTATTCCCAAGTAAGAAACTTAATTTAGAAAGGTCAAACAATGGTGGCACCTGTAGCTCAGTAAGCAGGGCACCGGCCCCATATACTGAGAGTGGCGGCTTGAAACCTAGCCCCAGCCAAACTGCAATAACAAAAAAAAAAAGGTGGCAAGTGTGGCTCAGTGAGTAAGGCACTGGCCCCATATACCGAGAGTGGTGGGTTCAAGCCCAGCCCCTGCCAAACTACAACAACAACAAAAAAATAGCCAGGTGTTGCAGCGGGTTCTGTAGTCCCAGCTACTTGGGAGGTTAAGGCAAGAGAATCATCTAAGCCCAAGAGCTGGAGGTTGCCGTGAGCTGTGACACACTCTACCAAGGGTAACAAAGTGAGACTCTGTTTCTTTAAAAAAAAAAGAAAGAGGCTCAGCGCCTATAGCTCAACCGGCTAAGGCGCCAGCCACGTACACCTAAGGTGGCGGGTTCGAATCCCCAGCCCGGACCCGCCAAACAACAATGACGGCTGCAACCAAAAAATAGCCGGGCGTTGTGGCGGGCGCCTGTGGTCCCACCTACTTGGGAGGCGGAGGCAGGAGACTCGCTTGAGCCCAGGAGTTGGAGGTTGCTGTGAGCTGTAATGCCACGGCACTCTGCCCAGGGGGACAGCTTGAGGCTCTGTCTCAAAAAAAAAAAAAAAGAAAGAAAGGTCAAACAAATCTCTTACCTAAGTTAAAGGTGAGATAAAATAAGAAACCCATTTTTTTTCCCAGTATGTACATATTACCTATGGTGTGTGTCTGCGTGCTAAAGTTGAATGTATATACAAAGTGAGGCAGTGGTCAAATTCACAGCCACATACATTTAGCTGTCCCAGCATGATTTACTAAAAGTCTGACTCTTCCTCAATGATCTACAATGTCACCTTTGTATTATAACAAGTTTCTACATATGTAGGGGTCATGTTTTTTATATTCTCTTCTGTTGGTCTATCTGCCTATTTTTGTATCTATAATCAGTACACAGAAGCAAGAATTACAATAAGTTTTTTAAAAACTGTTTTTAAATAAAAATAGTGCATTCCAATAATTAAAATCATTTAAACAACAAGAAAATGGCACTCTGATTAAACTGCATTTAACAGCCTACAGGAAAGCTTGGTTTTACTCTAGATTTCACTGTGGTCCCACTCTCTTCTCCCTTCACCAAAATACAAGTTCTCTTCCTTCCTGCCAGCCAGAAAGGAAGATGGAAGAAGCAGGCACAGCCTTTGTTGTCAACAGTTCCTCATACTGTGATGTGAAAGGGGCAGCACCATCATTTAAACTTGCTCTAACCTCATTCCATCTTACGAACAGCCAAAACAAGTGAAACACGAAGGTGATGCTTGTGGAATGCACAGTACATACTGGCAGCGCTCTCCTCATTAAGACTCATATGCTTGCCTCTCCTGTCTGATCGTTTCCTTGGAGGCAATGGATTTTTCTCTTGCGTTTCTGTCTTTTTCAATTTTGACTTATCAAATTTTTCAATCAACTGCCATATCGGGTTTGTTAGGCATGGCTGCAGAAGTAGAGGTATGAGAGCAGGCAGGATCCAATCTGTGCAGTGGCTAGCACAAGTCCAGTATAGTAAGTTTTGATATCAGGTTATCACACATAGAAAATCCTCCCACTCTTCAAGAGTATCACAGATATTCTTGATCCTTGCAACTTCCATGTAAGTTGTAAAAGTCAGCTTATACAGTTCCACACACAAAAAATTTTTTTGAATTTTGCTGAGAACAGCATTTAAGATATCACTCACTATTGAAAGACTGATAACAGTAGTCTTGTAAGGAAGCAGATTAATGTTAAATTTTAATTTTCCCTTGGAAATTGGCCAGTTTATAAAATTTTAGGGGATAAAAGTGTTATCCATCTCATTGCTTTAGCTTGCTAAGAATGTTAGATACTTAGGGTTTATTAAATCCTGCCTATAAGAATTTTTTTTTTTTTTTTTTTTGAGACAGAGCCTCAGGCTGCCGTCGTGGGTAGAGTGCTGTAGCATCACAGTTCACAGCAACCTCCAACTCCTGGGCTCAAGTGATTCTCCTGCCTCCGCCTCCCAAGTAGTGGGATTACCGGCACCTGCCACAGTGCCTGGCTATTTTTTGTTTGCAGCCGTCATTGTTATTTGGTGGGCTTGGGCTGGATTTGAATCCTCCAGCTCAGCTGTATGTGGCTTGCACCTTAGCCACTTGAGCCACAGGCGCCCAGCCTATAGGAAGTATTTTTGTTTTCATCCAGGAAACAGTCATTTCTTAAAATCAGTATTTTTTATAAATTTATCAAAGTAAGTGTATTTTTAAGAATAAGACTGGCTTTTAGTTACATTAAAATATATTACATAATTATGACATTAAAATAAGGCTACATTACTTACGTGGCCCTGTGTTAACTGAGTGAGTTGAGCCATGGTGAGTTTCACCTGTCCTTGTTGAGGGCGAGGGGATTGTGAGGTTGAGGACTGTAGATTTGCAGTAGATGTTGCTGGAGTTAAGTTTTTCTGCACAGGTGTTGAGGAAACTGTGTTAGGGGCAGAGATTGCAGTGGAAACTGGCTGCCCTCTGATGATCTGAGTCACCACTTGCTGAGGAGTACCTAACAAACAGCAAAACATGAAGTCTTACACACCCTTAGCATTATTTTGAATCACAATTACTTAATGCTTCAGGTGCATGTATTCTTTTCAATTTTCAAAAAGACACTGGGACGCCAACAGCTCAAGGATATATTAAGACATATGGTCACACCCCAAGATCAGCCTGGTAGGCAGTGAGCCTGTTTTCATTCAGCTCACTGAAAACCATTATTCAGCCCCTTGCTTTCTGTAGTAGAATGAAAAAAAATTCAATATTCTTCCTATAAAAGCCAACATGACAATCAGAAAGACAAAAAAGAATATGTAAAATATGTCATTTATAAGGCTGCCCTTTGTTAGGAATATTGAAAATAAGATAATTTAGTATATAATTCATATGAAAAAACTTTTTAAAATGGAAACAGAGTCTCACTCTGTTGCCTAGGGTAAAGTACTAGCTCTAGCCTAGCTCACAGCAGCCTCTTAACTCCTGGGTTCAAGGGATCTGCCTGCCTTAGCCTCCTGAGTAGCTGAGACTACAGGCACCCACCATTTTTTGTAGAGACAGGCTTTTGCTCTTGCTCAGGCTGGTCTAGAACTCTTATACTCATACAATCCTCCTGCCTCAAATTCATATGAATTTTAAATAAAATAAAGAATCTGAAGTATCTGGGCCAAATGCATTTATAAATACAATTCTCTTACAGCTATTTGATAGACTGTTCACAGGAGAACTATGAGGGCAAGGACCACTATATTCTTAAAACTAGGGTAAAGTGCTCAAAAAATATTTTTATACTAATTGCTGAACAGATGTCTACTAAATAAATGAAGTTTAACTGGAATGGCTTTAGTATTCCAAAAACTTTAGTTTTTCCTAAAACTAGAAAAAAAGCAAGTAGAATTTCCTTGTGTAATAATTGCTTAGAGTAATTATTTGATAACTAATTTGATATTTACAGACTCATTACTAATTATTAATAATACCCCCATTCCCATTATTCCTGTAATCCTGGGCACTTTGGGAGGCCGAACCCGGAGGATCACTTGAGGCCAGGAGTTTGAGACCAGCCTGAGCAACACAGTGAGACCCCTCTCTCCATAAAAAGTTAAAAAATAAGCTTGGTATGGTAGCAGGTGCCTATAGTCCCAGTTACGTGGGAGGCTGAGGCAGGAGGATCAGCTGAACCCAGGAGTTTGAGGTTGCAGTAAGCTATGAAAACAGACTGTGACACTATCTCAAAAATAAGTAAATAAAAAGTAATGAATAACATTGAATTCCTCAAGTTTTTATATTTACTTCCTGCCTCTTTCCTTTCTGTGCAAACACCTTATATTATGTTTATTATGTTATTATGGTTAATAAACTCCCCCAAATATTACTGGGTTCACAGTAGGGATACAGTACTGAACTGAACTCTAAAACAAAAAGGTTACACCAAGTTACACTCCCACCATGCATGCCCATCTCACTGAACTCCGCCAACCCCGTATCACCACTAAAGTATAATAGGGTCAATTAAACCAATCTTTTCTTGGGGGAGGACTTTGACGATTGCTTAGACAGGTCTCTTGCATTCTCTCATCAGGTATATCCTTCCAGGTATGTTCTTAGTCATGGTATGAGTTGTAAGTCAGAAGTCTAATTGACCTCCCCCACTATAAACCAATTATTCTTGTATCATTTGCTGATTCAAAATGACACCTCTGTCATACAGCTAATTCTCATATATAATGTCTCTTTTAATTGGACCTGTGTTTCTTCCTTTGGTATCATGCTCTTAACTTTGGTGTCTTTATAACATGCTTTAATATATTATAAGCACTTGGAAGTGCCTCTTTTCCATTATTACTCCTCCTTTGAAACTTTCCTTGGTACTCTCATCTGTTTATTCAAGATTAACTGACAGACAATGCAGCACAGTGTGATCAAGTGCTTCAATCTGAGAATACTGTACCACAACACTATGTCCTCGCACTGCAGTTTAAGAATAAAACATGACAAATGATCATTTTGATATAGTGCATCATAAACACAGAGAAAAAAACTGATTTTCTGGTGGTCATCCAGATGATCCCCAATATCTATATGTTAATTTATTTTTAGGTCAAAATGAAAATTCAAAAATTTAATAATTCCCGATTATATCCTCAAGTATGTGAAGCACATCTTAAGAAAGGGTAGCGTGGGGCAGCACCTATGGCTCAGTGAGTAGGGTAACAGCCCCATATACTGAGGGTAGCGGATTCGAACTCAGCCCCGGCCAAACTGCAACAAAAAACAGGTGGGCGTTGTGGCAGGCACCTGAAGTCCCAGCTACCTGGGAGGCTGAGGCAAGAGAATCGCCTAAGCCCAAGAGCTAGAGGTTGCTATGAGCTATTCCCCATGACACTCTACTGAGGGAGATAGAGTGAGACTCTATCTCAAAAAAAAAAAAAAAAAAAAGCTAGCATGGTGGCAGGAAAACGGATTTAGTTCCAGTCTGATCTGTACACACGTGGAAACACCCCACACTTACCCACCCTCTGATCATAACTTCTCTAATCACCCCACCCAACATAACAGGCCCACTCCCACCTCAGGACATTTGTATCGGATGTTCCTTCTTCACGAAAACTCTTTCCCCAGGTATCTGCACAGCTCTTTCATTTCCTTCTGGTCTTTATAAAAATTTCACCTTCTTAGGGAGTCCTCCTCTGGCCATCATTTCTAAAATTTCGACCCACCCTGAAAATCATTCTCAGACTCCAATTCTTCAACATTTTTATCCCCTTCCCGTTTTTGTAAGTACGTATCATTATTTAACATAACACATACATGTAAAATTCACATACTATTATTTGTAATACTATATTTAAGTAAATACACACACACACTCTTAACTCATCTGGTCATTGTCTACCTCTTCCACCAGACTGTAAGATTCATGATGGAAGTTATTTTGCCTGATTAGTTCATAACTAGAGTCATCTGGGGCTAGAACAATGTCTGGTACATACATAGTACTGAGTATCTGCTGAATGAATAAACGGATATCTAGATTTGGGAATCAGACAAATCTAGTTTGAGACCCAGAGTAGTAATATAGCATGAGAAAAAACTCAACATTCTGAGTTAAAATTAGCAAAAACAAAACAAAACAAAAAGCCAAAAATCAAACAAAACCAAAACCTTCATCTGTAAAATGGGGATATTTATAGATACTTGATCTGAAGACTATGTGAAAGCAACGTTCAAAGTGCATATACCCTAGCACAGAGTAAATAACCAATACATTATAACTAGTACCTTATCACTGTTACTAAGAATCAATTATTTAAAGGCAGACTTCAGATAATTATATTAAATAAGCACTGCACAGGCAGGTGGCAGAGTTGGGCAGTTCATTATACAAGCCCTATTCACACTGAGCATTCAAAACTTTAGGGAAAAAAAGTGGCAAAACTCTATTGGTTTGAAGCTATACAGATTTACAAATGGATAGACAAACATATAATTACAGCTACATAAGGCGTTTCTCAACAAAGTCTCTCTAAACTACGGTACTATCAGTATTTATAATTTATCTGGCAATTTACCAAACTTTTCAATTCTTTTTTTCTGGATCAAATGCTGCTTAGGCACAGAAGACTGCCTTTAAAAAGAAAAAAGCTTTGCTATGTTTCCTATTATAATTGTGCTAAGATTTTATCTATCCTTCTCCTATAACTGGGAACTATGTTTTACCATAAGGAAATTATTTGTTTCTTAACCATCTGAACTAATTTTTTTTACCCATAAATTCACAAGATGCAGAATTCCTTTTTGTAGGTTGCATTATGAATGACAACTTACCAAATTTCTTACTTTGATAAGAGCTATTAAGACTTTTAATTTATAATCATGGTATTTAATTATGCCTTGACAGTCAAATAGTTAGTTCCCAAGTATGCACAGTAAAAACTCTCAAAGTCTCACTGTGAGGGCACCTACACAAAACTTTTGATGTAAAAAAAAGTTTTCTATTTTTATTGTACATTCTCATTCCTAATCCTGTGAAATGGCATTTTCCAACCTTTCCTCTAGAACAGATGTACAAAAGAATAGATCGTTACATTATTTTTGCCTTTTCTGTTTTGGAATTATTATTACTACTACTTGTGCTTGTATTTCCTCTTTGTTTTAAGACTTGTTTTTATTTTTTTTTTCTAATTTCTGATTAACATTTAAGAATATGGGTTTCTTAGTCTATTTTATTCACTAATGTATTTCAAATGTTGAGAGCAGATGCTCTAGGATCTGTTGCATGAATTGAATTTGCCTCTGAGTTCAGCTATGGCATCAGGACTTAATATTGCTATTAATTACATATGTTTGTAATTACATATTTGATGTTTCTTTAACCTAAAGGTTATCAAAAGTTTCTTAGAACCTACATTTTAAAAATTTCCCAAGCAAGTGAAGATTATCAACGTAACGTCTTCATTTCTATCTTAATATATATGGCCTATATACATTCTCCTTCTTAGAATTTATCAAGGTTTTATCTAGGCCTCGAGGATCGGTTTTCCATCAGATAGCCCATAAATATTTAAAATGAATGTGTATTTCTGAAATTACAAAAGTTGATACACAGTTTAATTGAAGTTTACTATGCTCCTCTTGATTCCTTGATTTCAAATAGTTTTGCTTTATATACTTTCATCTTTTTATTTTTTCTTTCAACTTTTATAGTAATTTGATTTTCGATGTTTCTCATACATGTATAGGGTTCTCCCCCTTCAATCTTTACAGCTTTCAGTTTTTACCACAGTAGTTTTACATATTCATATTAATTGTGATAAAAGAAGGTCTAGCATTGTTTTTGCAAAAATTTGTTTATTTGCTATTTCCTTCCTTTTCTCTCTGTCTTTTGCCATACAGACTGCTTTCTTTGCTTACTTTACCTCAAGTATTTAAAACTACATATCCATTTATTAGTTACTTCTTTTAGATTTTTAATAAGTATATTTAGACCTTTTTTGTATCTTACTGGCAATGCCGAAAATGAATGTATTTGGATGCATTTCACAATAGGTTAAAAGTTTAGTATGATTTCAAATTGCCGTTTTATAGTATGTAAAATGCCAAACACAGAGTATTACAGATTCCCTAGACTGGCTGTTTAATTAAAATGATAATGCTGGATGGATGAATACCTGGCTGTACCATCACAGGTGTTCGAATAATTGCCTTTCCTAGTGTTGACTGTTGGAGTGGTGTTCTAATCACCGTCATACCAGGGCGGATCTGAGGCCCTGTGATTACCTACAAATGACACAAAGGACAATGAATTAAAATGTTTTTAAAAGACTAAAGCATGATGGACTTAGAACAAAGATCTTTAAACATTCTATATTGATAGAAATGTCAACAAAAATGACAGAGGCTCTTGGATATTACATTTTAAATTATATTAAGCATCAGAATAAAATTGGAATTTTGAGGAGAGAAATTTAATTCAAATGCTGTCATATAAAATTCCCTGTCATTGATACCAAGAACAGCTTACAGATTAAAAGAAACAAGAACCAGTGAGACTCTGCTCTTTAACTAAGTTGTCACAAAAAATACTGAGTTCTACTTTCTGTAAGCTCCAATTTATACCTATAACCTAGAGGATATCACAGTCAGATCAGAAACCAAATGTTCTGTCACAGTTTTTAGGGGGAGACTAGAGAGCATGTGATTTTCAGTTTTATAGTTAGGTTCATAACATTTTCAAGTTTATAAACTTTAAACCTTTTCCATAATATTAATATCAAAGAAATGATGTATGTAACATGTACACATATCAGCTAATGAAAAACGAGGGATAGTGCTGTAGATTATGTTTTTTATTCTATTTCTTAACTAAGCTGGCACAGTAAGCTTCCTTGAGTGGTCCAGTATTGCACATTCTTTTATGTAAAGGAATTTTGTTTATAAAATCCTAAACAGCAATTGTTATTACTTATAAACTGTACTAATGCACTATTAAATGTTAAAAATTCATACTTCATGTATAATGTTTATATAACAAGTTTCTTCCAAATCAGTACTTTGTCTCAGACTAAGTAAAACACAAGCAAAATTAGCTGGATTAATCTCGGAAGAGGCCATGCTAAAAACTTCAACTTGATGTGCTCAATGCTTCAAAACAAAGTAAGTCTGAAAGAATTCTTACTTGTGATGTGCTTGTGGTTCCTGCAGAGGCCGAGGTGTTGGGCCTAATTGTGACTGTTGCTGTCCTGGGCTGGAATGAAGTAAAGGTTTGTTGACTTGAACCTGTACTTGATGGAATGATGCCCAGGACTTTCTGCTGTACTTGAACAACACCTTAAAAAAAGATGAAGAAATGATTTACAACTGTCCCTTTAATGAATAGCGTTACGTGCTGCTTGGTTTCTGAGGAGGTACTACGTGTGGCAGGGTTTTATAGTGGGCTACATAGAATGTGAGATCCGAGGACTGAAACCAGTGAAAAGGAAATGAAAAATAATGGCAACAGTATGATCTGGCAAATGTGAATTACAACTCTTCACATTTCCCTTACCTCCTTGTGTTGCTGGCACATTTACAGCGACAATCTTGCTGTTTGCAGGAAGTGGCAGTTTGGTAATTACTTTTCCTGCCATAGTGACTGGACTGCCTGTAATTTGGAACGTCTGACCTGTGCTGGCAATGGTTGTAGCAGATGTGGCAGCTGTGCTGGTGGCTAATGGGGTATAAGACATTTAATAAGCTTTAGATTTAAAATAACCAGCAACGTAGTGACTTCTAGGAAGGGCACCAATGCACGAAATGTGGTTCATTTTGTATATTTAATAAAAAACATTCCTCTCCATACAAAGTGAACTATGTAAATGTTGAAAGTGAAATAATGTAAGAGAGGAGTTTGCCAATGTAATATTATGAACCAATTGTTACAGCTTGTTTGCTCAATCAGCTGCAAAAGAAAAGCAATTTTCTAAAGAGATGTTTCACTTCAGTAGGCAAAGGACTGAAAATTCTTTTTCCTGAATGAAACTGATCTTCTATTTAATCACAGTTGTGTACCTGAATTTGACTGGCCTTGCTTAACCCATGTGGCAAAAGTTTGATGGAAGTTCTTATTTTGCTGGAATGTTACTGTAGCTGGAGATCCAACTTTAGTAGTTAGTACCATTTTGGTTCCAGTCGTAACTGAGCCACTTATCGGGGCCACCATAACTTTCTGTGCTGGAGAGATGGTACTGGTTGTACTATTTGTTGGGGAAGTAGTGGAAGTTGCAATCACTGTAGGCTTTTGCTGCTCCAATCGTTTCTAAAAAAGTCACCAAGAGAAAACATGAACCAAAATAGTTCCAGATAAAAACAATACCATTCTGTAAGAAGTCTAGGCACAATTTTTCTCACCCTAAGAAAGTGAACTAAATTTCCTTCTGAAAAGAAAATATACCCATATAATTCACCCCTAAATGTAATTTCTTGACGAGGACAATGTTTTCATGTACCTATACCACATATACTTCATTAAAAGTACTAAGCTGTTCACAACAGAAAATTTAAAATAATCAAGTTTTTCTGGCCTATGTAAATATCCAAGCTCTCTGAGTGATAATAAAACAGATGCAGGTAATCTAATAGGAGACAGGGACGCCATGCTGCTCAGGGGTGAGATTCAAAGCAGAGAACACCTGAAGAAAGCTGTAAAATGCTTTTATGTACTGCAATGCTAGTTAATTCCATCGTAAAGAGCATGTCAATACTAAATATCACTATTCAAGTCGGCAAACTCATGATCAAGCAAGCTGAAAATCATAAAACAATTTTCTACACTTCTTATATTATTCATTCAAACATTTTTACAGAAAAATACTTTAGACCATTTTATACAGAGTGGTATTAACTGGCATAATATTGATCTTTAAACTACAGGATTATTAAAAACAATCTGTATATCTTTTATTATAGACTGCTAAAATTTTCTGCCAGCTTATCAACAGTGGTCTGATGATATACACCTGTAAAAACAAGTGAGATTTACTGCAAACCTGGTGGCAGGTGCTTTACTTTCATTATCTCATAAAATGAGGAAACTGAGGCTCAGAGAGGTTGTATAACTGGCTCAAAGTCACAGAGCTAGTTAGTTAATGGCAGAGCTGGGATATTTACTAAGATCGATTTCCAAGGCTTATTATCTCCTGTCACAGCAAACTGCTTACCTACAATATCACACCCATTAATTTTTTTTAGTACTACTTTTGTATACATCTGATATACATAAATATGGTATGGAATACTTTTACATAATTTTGCATTCCCTAGAAGAAAAGAAATTTAGTTTTGAATACTTAGAGATGCCATCGACTGAACTAGCTTTAAAAAGGAGGCAAAGAAATCAAACACTATTTAGTATTTATTGGGGGATGGTATAAGCCTTTAAAATTGAAATGCTGGGTATCCTTACAAAAAAGCATTTTAAAGAAATTTCAAGAAGTAAAATTTGTATTGTAGAAATGACAAAACACATCCATAAGTAAAAACAAAACAAAACAAAAAACTAACCAGCTGTTACACGAATAAATATATGTGCCTGGGGATAAATTTCCTGTGACAGCATCATACATAGAATCCAAAAGTGCTGTTATCTTCAGTTTTGATAATAAATGAAGATAAGGGCCTATCCATAAGAATTTGAAAAAAGTTTTATAAAATGCTAAAGGAAAAAAAGTAGTTTGAGACAAGTAATTTGGTTTACGTATGATTTTTTAAAAAATTTATTTCACCTACATATTTGAAGTTTATATATTCAAGTTGGCTAAAAGATTTTTAGGTATCTTCTCAATAGAAATAAGAGTAAGGATGTTTTATTTGGGTTGCTAACATGCAGGCTCATATGGTATAGTATTTGCAGTATGAAAATGCTAAGAAATCATCAGGAGCTTTAGGATCATCAATGATAACAAACTCTACAATCCACTTTCTTTTTCCTTTTTTTTTGAGACAGAGCCTCAAGCTGTCCCCCTGAGTAGAGTGCTGTGGCATCATAGCTCACAACAACCTCCAACTCTTGGGCTCAAGTGAGTCTCCTGCTTCAGCCTCCCAAGTAGCTGGGACCACAAGTGTCCACCACAACACCCGGCTATTTTTTGGTTGCAGCCATCATTGTTCTTTGGAGGGCCTGGGCTGGATTCAAACCCGCCACCTTGGGTGTTATGTGGCTGGCGCCTTAGCCACTTGGGCCGCAAGTGCTGAGCCAGTACAATCCACTTTTTCATTGGCTAGAGATTTTCCACATTAAAATTTTATAGGGAAAAATTATTTCCAGAAATTACCCTTGAAATCATAAAAACAATAAATAATAGAAATCTTATTCCAAATGTCCTCCAAATATGTACACTTTTTGTAAAACCACAGTTTGGTATATCCACAAAAACTATTTTCAGTTAATAATAATCACCGTCTGGCGCCTGTAGGACCATGGTTACAGCACTGGGCATATACACCGTGGCTGGTGGGTTCAAACCCAGCACAGGCTAGCTAAGCAACAATGACAACTACAACAGAAAAACTGCCAGGCATTGTGGCAGGCTCCTGTAGTCCCAGCTACTTGGGAGGCTGAGGCAAGAGAATCGCTTAAGCCCAAGAGTTGGAGGGTGCTATGAGCTAGCTGTGACGCCACAGCACTCTACCAAGGACAACATAGTGAGACTCTGTCTCAAAAAGAAAAGAAAAATCAGGTATATTTGCGATAACGTTATTAAAAACCACACAAGGTTCGGCTCCTGTAGCTCAATAGTTAGGGCGTCAGCCACATATACCAGGGCTGGCGGGTTCAAACCTGGCCTGGGCCAGCTAAACAATGACAACTGCAACAACAACAACAAAATAGCCAGGTGTTGTAGTGGGCGCCTGTAGTCCCAGCTACTTGGGAGGCTGAGGCAAAAGAATCTCTTAAGCCCAAGAGTTTGAAGTTGCTATGAGCTGTGATGCTACAGTACTCTACTGAGGGTGACATAGTGAGACTGTCTCAAAAAAAATTAAAAAATAAAAAAACCACATGAATATATAATTATTGTGCTCTTGGTGTGTAGGAATTGGGCTAACAATGTAAATTTGTCAGGTTGGACCGGTACCAACTCCCCCACCTGTTGGATATCCAACTGCTGCTGTTTTAGGAACCCTCACTTGGGCCCTGAAGTCCTCCCCCCATTTCTGTTCACTAACCTTAGTCTGTTGCTCAACTGCTTGTGCCTTTTCTTTCTCCACTCTGTAGGAAAAAAAGGAAGAACTTATCAGAAACTACCCTCTTAAGCATCTGGAGTCTAATGTAAATAGAATCTGGTTGATTTACACATCATAGAAAAGGTATGAAATTATTTCAATTTAAAAATATTTAAGTTGGGTAGTGCCTGTGGCTCAAAGGAGTAGGGTGCCAGCTCCATATACCAGAGGTGGCAGGTTCAAACCCGGCCCCAGCCAAAAACTGCAAAAAAAACCCCCAAAAAAACCCCCAATTTAATTAGAAATTGACAAATGGATAAAACATTGAAAATCACAAGTAGGACCTTAATAAACTACATACAACTAGTGTTAAAAATCAAAAGGTGGAATAAAATTAACTAGTAGTACTGAATAAACCATTCAAGAGATAATTTAGTTCTGAAGCGATAAAATCTTCAAATATCTGGCAAGTGTTAACTATTTCCTTACCTCTCAGCAAACGCCCTGATCTCCCATAATTCTAGCTCTTCTTCTGCTACCCAGGTTTCAATAATAACTGGGCCAGTTTGCTTGGGTGTTTCTGGTCTCTTTGGTCGCAATGCACTTGATCGAAGACCTTTCCTCTGAGGTGTAGGTGTTTCTTTGGAAAAGAGATCAGAGTATTTTAAAAGCAAAATTGCTTCAAAAATTAGGTATTTCTGGCATCTTCTATCATGAGAAGCAGCAGTTGGCAAACATCTTCTTCTTAAAAGCTCAGATGGTATAAAGACTATGCAGGCCAAATGGTTTCTCTTACAACTACTCTACTCTACCTTTTATTCTTTCTTTTCTTTTCTTTTTTTTTTTTTTGTTAAGAGATGGAGTCTCACTCTGTCACCCAGGCTGGAGTGCAGACACATGATCATAGCTTCCTGTGCCTAGACTTCAGTGATCCTCCTCCCTCAACCTCCCAAGTTGTTATATATTTCTTAATTAGATTTTTCCTAAATATTTTTATTGTTTATATAAAATTACTGAATTTTGTTTATTTACATTTTTTCACTTTGGAGACCACAATGAATTCCTTTTAGTGTTAATACTTTTGGTTTTCATGAAATTTTCTTGACAGACGTGCATAATTAACTGCAAAATAGTGTTAATCTTGTTTCTTTTCTGTTATTTAGCATTTATTATTCTTTGTTATCTTACTGCAACACACTAACATTTGATATCATAATACTATAGCCTTTTCTTTGCTTCCTTGAGAACAGAGGCCAAATTTCATTCCTCTATGTACGTGCTACTCGATGCCTATCAATGCCTATTATACATGTATTCTATAAATGTTTCCTGAATAACAGTTTATTATTATTATTTCTACCTGAGCACTGAAGTATTTCAAAAAAGCTTTAACTCTTGAGTCAACAAGATTTTATTAACCACTTACATGTCAGACTCTGCACTAGGTGCCAGGACTACAACAAAGCAGACAGACGAAGTGGCTGCCTTCTTGGAGCTCAGAGTGTGGTGTCAATCAATGCCTCACATTTTAATTACAAGAGGTATTATTATGGTCCAGGCTTGGCACAATACCTGTAGGCATCAGTATGTGCCTAATTCAATCCTGGTATGTGTATTACTTAAGTATCACTTTTTTAAAAACATTACTTATGGGAAAATGTTGTGGTTTTGTTTTTTGAGACATAGTCTCTGTTGCCTTGGGTAGAGTGCCATGGCATCCGCTAGCTTACAGCAAATTCCTGGGCTCAAGTGATCCTTTTGCCTCAACCTCCCAAGTAGCTGAGACTATATAAGTACCCACCACAACGCCTGGCTATTTTTTTTTTCTTTTTTTTTATTGAACGGTAACTATGTACATTAATGCACTTCTGGGGTACAGTGTGGGGTTTTCACATGCAATCTGAAATACTTCCATCAACTGGTCAACACAGCCTTCATGTCATTTTCTCAGTTATTGCTTTAAAACATTCACATTCTACTCTTAGATTCATTTGTACCCCTATAAGATAAACCTCAGAAGTAATCCCTCCAAACTCTCTCCCTCCACCCTTTACCCCCTCCCTTCTCCCTCCCTACGCCTGGCTATTTTTAAGAGACGGTGTCTTGCTCTTGCTCAGGCTGCTCTCTAACTCCTGAGCTCAAGCGATCCTCCCGCCTTGGCCTCCCAGAATGCTAGGATTATAGGCATGAGCCACAGCACCCAGCCTGAAAAAATGTTTTTCATAATAGAGTTAAGAAAGTAATTATAATCAAATTTCATGTGGCTAACAGGTCAATAATGGAAGAATATAATTCCTTCCACTCCTTACCTTTTGGTGCTTCTGGAACTCCAATGGGGCAAATGATTTTCCTGATACAATATTCAGATCGAATGCCGTAAGGACCAACATCTCTCCTCTTAATTATTTCAGTTGTTGTGATTTCAGTTTCAGATGTTTCTATGGTGATTTAATTCAAAAAGTATTAATAACCACCTAAAATACTCAGACTAAAAAGGCACACAACATCTGGTATTTTAAAAGGGACATGCATGGAAAATACTTTTAGAAACATTTAATTAATTAATGACTACAGCATCGCTATTGGACTGCAACAATATTGAGTTTCTTCTTCCCTGAAAATTTCTAACTGAATAAAATGCTGAATAAAACGGTGCATCTTTAGCTCCTGGTGGCAATACTCAGTCAAAACAATAAAAAGCCTAGGATAAAACCAGCACATACAGGGTACTAGAAATCTTAGCTTATGACTTACACCCTATGATAATAAACTATCTTAAAAAAAAAAGTGAAGACTTGTTCATGAATACGTGACTCACCTTATAATGTGACTGACTTCCCCATCCCCAGATTTCATAGCATGTGTCAGACTTTAGCAAAGCTGTATTTCTAAGACATGAGCATTTTTAAAATAAGTAACAAAGGTGCTTAAAAGTCAGTGAGTGGTCAAGAGATTTTTATCCTTGAACTTAAATTATAATGTACCCCCCATTACCTGTCCGTGTAGTCCCTGCTCCTGGAGGAGCCTTGGCTGCCATGTCATCCCATCTCAAACTTGCCCACAGTAACCGTAACATCAGGCTCACTCCAGCCAAGGACTTCACGGTCTGAAGTCTATACCTGAAAGAAAACCCAAGAAATCCATATATATACTTATGCACATGTATATACACATGCTTTCTACTAAACTAAAGGATGTGTTTCTTATCCTTATTATGAATTCAGTATTTATAACATAATTTTGTAAGACTCTGATCTTACAAAAGAACTTTTCTGTTTATAGGCATAACATACATCTAACACTTAAAAATAGTCTATATTTACTTTAAATGCCAAATAAATTTATAAAGTGACTATGTTCCATAGTAAGGCTAATACAGTAATAATTTATGAAAATTTTTTAAATTTAATCTAATTCTAAAATGTTATAAAAATTAAGAAGATCAAACAGAGAAATAATTGCTATTAAATCTGATAAGGCAGTTTTCAAAAAGGAAAAATCATGACTGATTTTTGTTAAAATGGAAAACGTGGAAATATTAAAATTTTCTCAAAAAGCAAATAAAAAACACCTAGAAAATCTAAGTCTTTTCCAGATGAACAGAAAATTTTGTATCCATCCGAATGAGGAGGGCTTCAAAACATGAACTACTGAATGATGAAAACTGCTAATGCCAGTAAAACTTTAGTATTAGTGTAGTTTGGAATCCTACACTGAATAATAAAATATCACTAGAAAAAGGGTAATACTGTATTAGTCACTAAAAGTAGGCAAATAAATCTCTCTGGCTTCTGGGGATGGAGCTTGTTTTGTTTTGTCTTTGTAATGCCTATCCAGGTTTGTGTTTTTTCTAAGTATCATGTGTAAAATTATTGATCATTTTCAATACCCTTTAAAAAATAACACTAAAAACACATTTCAAAATGAATTCATTCAACTATAATGACTACCATGGCCTAAAACTGAATTCACTATAAGACATTTTAAAGCAGCTGTAGGCTGTCAATTCTCCATTAGGGTCTGTTAACTAAAATACTTTGTTGACATTTTCACACTACTTAAATGAACACACTGTTGATTACAGTGTAGAGAAAAGCACGTAAAATAAAAGAGTTTCTTCCTTTAACAGAAGTAAAATGCAAACCTTAGAACACATTGTATTTGTAAGGCAATTCTTTGTCATTAGCAGTATGTTGGAAAAACAATGTGAAAAAGAGAACACTCTAGCCAAAAAAGCTGCTGCTGCTTCTCTTCTCTCCGTATGACACCTTTTTTTTTTTTTTTTAAGTTTTTGGCTGGGGCTGGGTTTGAACCCACCACCTCCAGCATATGGGGGCACCGCCCGACACCATTTTTTTATTGTGTTACTTATTACACTATAAATTGTCTGATCTGGACAGAACTCCTGAACTAGAGGGGAAATGTTAACTACTGCAGGGGTGTCCGGAGAAGGCAACGAGTCTGGTGCTTTCAGACTACCAATAGAAATCCCTATGGAACTTGTGTTTCATGAAAGAAAGAAAATAAACATTTATTTGGAAAGAAAAGTTCATCCTCATTCTCTCTCTTCTGCCCCCAATCACTCTGTGTCAAATCTTAACTTTAAATCATCCTTATTTTTAAAATGGAAATATTTAATAACACGGCAGGGGGTGGAGAGACACACTTCATGCATATTGGCCTGCTCATTTAATCATTCATTCAAAAATTATTTGAGCATCTTCTATGTGTTAGACTATGTTAAAAGAGCTGAGGACACACAAGTGAACTAGGTCTGTCTCTCTGTTCTCAAGGAACTGTAAGAGAAAAAGCATAAGGGAGGGGCATCTGATTTGGCTCAGGGAAAGGGATCAGAGCTTTGCAGGAGTCTTTTTTTTTTTTTTGCGGGGGTGGGGAGGCAGCCTCCAGTTGTTGTCCTGGGTACAGCGCCTTGATGTTATAGCTCACAGCAACCTCCAACTCTTGGGCTCAAGTGATACTCTTGCCTTGGATTTTCTATTTTTAGTAGAGATGGGGATCTTGCTTTTTGCTCAGGCTGGTCTTGAACTTGTGAGCTTAAGCAATCCACCCGCCTCAGCCTCTACTTTGCTGGAGTCTTACAGGACAAATTAAGGGTTTTATGATGGCTGACCAAAGGCAATAGGTATACGTATATATGCTAAGGAGCAAGTGTGTAAGAGCTCACACTTCTCGGAAACTGTATCCAGTGTGTTATAGCTGGAGGGAAGGGGCATGGAGGTGCAGAAAGAGATGAAGCTGGCATGACAGAGGAAGGCAGAAGCCAGAATATGGTGCACTAAACTGAAAGAATAAAGAAGAGCATTAAAGGCTATGTATATTAAGGCCTCTCTGAGACGTACTCAGTATTGGATGGGTTGTGAAGGGAAGTACCTCTCACAGACATCTACGTGTGACAAGTGCGTTCCCTTCCTCTCCTCTCCCCTCCCTGCAAGTCCCTTAGTTTTCAGAATATTCACAGGGCCAATCCTCATTTTAGGAGGACCCCCGTGGCAGCACCATGTAGAGGACCACTGCCAGTCCAAAGTGATAATGAAGCATAGGATCAGGGCCTGGGGAAACAGGTACACAGGAACAGGGTGGAGGGAAGGAGGCCCTAATGAGCCTGTGAGACAAGTTTTTCAATATTCCTCAGCCTTAAGATTAGATAGTAAAGATCATACATGTGCCTTTGGCATTCTTAGCCCCTAAGCACCAGACATATTTTATTCAAGTATTAGTACAAGAGTATATTTCACATGCATGGCTTTTTAGTAGTGATATGATTTTCAAAAACTCATTCTGAAGTCAAGAACAATTTATATATTTACCCATGCCTCCATTAGATAAATGAGATTATGCTTCTCTAAAATTGATTTCAGCAAATTAAGATGTTAACATGTACTTGAAGGCAGTATCTATTTAAAATGTACAGGAAGGTATTCCCTTCCGTTAAAAATGAGAAATTAAATAATACAAATTGTGCCATAGTGCATACTAAAACATGATCACTCAAGGCTCCTGAAACTCAGCCGTGCAGAACAGGACCCTGAGTAGCACTTGAACAGGACCAGGGCCTGGCTCTCCTGGAGAGCTCAGAGAGTGCTTCCCAGTTGAGCCTGCCCCTCTATTTCAGAATACAAAAAAGCAGAAAGGTTGGCCTCCACAATTGCCAGATCATTTTAATTAAAGTATTTGTACACAGTAACTTTTCCAGTGGGAAAGAAGTTACCTGCAGGACAGTCAAGGATACATTTTGGGACCGCTCTCAATGAAGAAAGCAGAAAAGTGCAGAGTAATCCTATAAATCCATGAACTGTAATGAAGAGTTCCTTGATTCCCTGCAGGATTCTGCAAATCCTTCATTGCAGGCCCTGCAGAGAAATTGTACTTTTCAGCTGTCTCTATTGAATGTGTAATGGAGTGATGATTATTTTATTTCAAATCAAAAGATGAGTTATAAAAAACTTGGTCAAACAAGCTATGATTGTATTAATAAATTAATTCCTTTATAGAAATCACTTATCTATACTCTTTTTTGATCTAATACTGATTAAACCAAAAAAGTGTGACTTTTAACTCAACGAAATTGGAAACATATTAAAAGACACACAGAAATGAAGCCTAAATAGAAATGAGGTTTGCTCAGTAACTCACTGAAATAATTTCAGAATCCTAGCAAAATCTAAATTGCAACTATGATTAATACTGACTCCTAAGGATGTTCCCAGAACTCCTGTGTTTTTCAATGTTTATGGTCCATTCTTCTCAATCATAAAGGTGAAAAGATAAAGACAAGAACATGAAAAAGGAAAAAGCAAGGACAAATATGTGAAATGTGATGTAACAGATAAAGCACCACACTGGGATTTATAAAAACTGGGCACTATTCTTAACTGTTACTGTGCAGCCAGAGGCAAATTATCACACATCTACAAATTTCTAAGATCCCCTGCCAATATAAAACCATATGATTTTATAACTGCCAATGCTATATACTTAGGACTTACCCCCAAGCCTAAAGTGCCCAGAAAATTTTAAATTAGAACTATTTCTGATTTTAAAAAATTCCTAAGGAATGTAGATAACTGCCCATTCATATATAAATAACAGAGAACTCCAAACAAATGGTTATCATGCAAATAAATTATAGAAGTGAGGTTTCCACATTATGATGAGCATCATGAAATTTACAGGTATATTTCCTTATGTCTTATTGAATTACCCAACAGAAATAAAATACAAACATTCCAGAAAATTGGTGATTATCCAATTCTGTGATTATCTTGATCCAGAGCAAATAACTTGGGAAGTTGGCAGTAACTTGGGAAGTTAGACCACAAAAACAATCACATTTGACATATTCCTTTTTTTTTCTTTGGAGACAAGAGAGAGACTCTAGCACCCTGGCTAGAAGTCCAATGGCATCATCATAGCTCACTACAACCTCAAACTTCTGGGCTCTAGTGATCCTCCTGTCTCAGCCTCCTGAGTAGCTGGGACTATAGGTATGCGCTACCACACCTGGTTACTTTTTGTATTTTTAGTAGAGATAGGGGTCTTGCTCTTGCTCAGGCTGGTCTTAAACTCCTGATCTCAAGCGATCCTCCCACCTCGGGCTCCCAGAATGCTACGATTAGAGTCAGGCCAACATGTTCCTTTTGTCTTGTGAAAGTACAACTGAATTTCATTTTAAAGGATTTTAAGTCTTTATAAACGCTTTTCCCTAAGTAAACTTTAGTACCTACCAGGTAGCTGAGTTTTAAGTTTCTTGTACCTTAATTCCACTGTTAACTTACGCGATTAAACATATGCTTCCCTGTCTTCTATTATCTTACTTTTTTTAAAAAAATGAGTACTTTTATAAGATAATTATTTTAAAACTTCCTCCCCCAAATACATTTTAAAGTACATACCTCCAAGTGATACCAAAGGTTGGTCTAGGAGAAGGGTATGGCCATATATCCAAAGCAGGTTTTGCATTGTAATTAAAATATGGGACTTCTCGGATTCCTCCTTTTCTGGCCAACTTTTTTAAGTCATCATTAGGCAAAACAAATATGCTCTTCTTGCTGCTCTTGGTAATAAACTTTCTATAGGATGGCAAAGCTGTACCTGAACGAGCCTTCTTTGGTCTTGAAAATTTCATCAGTTTCACTTTGTCCTTTGTGGAATACTCTTTGCTCACAGTCATGGATGTTACCAGTGTGCCTCCTGTGGTGGTTAGAGAGTCTGTCACTGTTGTGGTCACCACGGTTTTGCTCTGCTCCTTTACAGAGATGATGTCTACACTGCTGCCTGTGGAGGGTGTGGAAAGCTTTGTTACCGTTGTGGTGGTGGTGGTGACAGTGGATTTGGCACAGTTTTCTGTAGAGGAGACTACAGTTTGCTTATCTCCTTTTTCCACCTTGATCACAGTTTTTGATTCTGTGGCCACAGTGGATGTCATGGTGGTAACTTCTGTGATGACTGTTTTTCTTTTAGATTCTCCATTGACATTTTCATCTTTGTTGGTGGGCAGACCATTTTCATCAATAAAATCGTTACTGAGATTAGATTCCTCTCCAGAAGTAATTGGTGATGGAGTAACCTTCTTAACTTCTGAGCTTTCAACTTCCATATCTTCTACCTGATTGACCAAGTTGCTTTCTGGACAAGGTGGTGGAGCTGTGGTAGTCCATGTTCTGTTAGACTCTTTGGTTGATGGCATAGTCTCAAGGCTATCTTGGTAGTCACCTTCAGCATCTGAAGAACGCAGTAAACATGATTTTGTTTCTGAGTTGTTTTTTTCACTAAAATCTTCCATGATGATGTCTCCATTAATGAATGGCTTTGCAGCAGGTTCTTTAACAGTTAATGATTTAACATCATTTTCAGGGATTATTTTATTTATATTATTAACCTTTGGTTCAACATGACCACTTGCTATTTTACTCTCAGAGATTTCCTTCAAGCATTCACCTTTCAAATATACTTTAGGTTTATTATCTTTTCCATTTATTTGAAATGTACTTGTTTTCTGTCCTTTCTTTTCAGACTCTCGATTTTCATTATTCTTTTTGTCTGTGCTATTTTTCAGATTTATTTGATCAGTGAATTTATTAATTGGTCTCTCTTCTAACGTCTGCTGCTGACTTGGTTTTTTACCATTTGCTTCAGTTACCTTACCCTGCAACCTGCTATCACAGTTTCTACTGGACTTAGAAAGAAACTCACATTTCAATGGCTCCAAACCTTCAATACTTTGTTCTTGAGTTATGAATTTTTCAGAAATACTTTCATTGCTATTTTGAACAATCATATCTTCCTCACTGCTATCTTGGATAGACATAGTATCAGAACTATTTTCCAAAGTGCTATTATATTCAGAGTCACACCCCAGTTTTCCTTCGAAGTCCATTACTTTTGAAATAGATGAGGCATCTCTGTCACTGATACTTTTAGAAACTGATGAAAGTAAAGTACTCTTAGAAGGAGAAAGAATGGTGTCATTTTCCTCCTGTGTGAGTGGTTTTTTGTTTTTATAGATCAAAGTACCAACATTATCTGTACTGGATGGTTTAGAGTCATCAATGAAAAAATCATTTCCTTTTATTTTAATTTTACTGGGTTCCTGGCTTTCACTGGCAGGGTCCAAGAGATTCTCTTCTATGTCATTTTCAACAGAATTTTGTTTCTGACAATTTGTTTCTGAGCTCTGAATAGAGCCATCATCTAACACCTGGTCCTTTGGGTAATGTTTGTTTATAGCATGAGTAGGACCACTGAGTCCAAGGACTGAGGAATCACTTTGTGAACATCCCTGAATTGAGCCCTCAGATTTCTCACGATTTGCATCAGGACTCTGTTCTTGTCTAAGCAAGTCATTCTGACTCCCTTCTTTTGCTTTTGTTGTTACTGTTGACTCAGAGGGACTTTTCGAAGAACCTGCAGAAGTCTTTCCTGTGCCCTTAATTCCACCCTCCAACTTCATTTTTTCAAGGCGCTGTTTTTCTTCCAGTGTAAACTGTTTAATTCTCCTTTCAAGCAGTCCATCCAGTTTGGATGACTTCGTTTTCTTTTTGTAAGTAGTCCTGAGGTGAAAACCCTCACTGACATTGACCACATCTACTTGAGAACTTTCCTGGCAATTTTTATGTGACTCTGATTTCACATCATCATCTATTTCCATTGGTTCTTCCTTGAAAGATTTATCATTGTCAGAATCTAGAAGTTCTTTTCCATCTGTGAAAAAAAGACATTTATAAAAATGCAATTTTTACTCGGAAATGAGGAATCCATGAGACTATTTTTATTTCAAAAAGTAACTACTTTTCTCATTTTCACTCTAGAACTCAAATATAATTATCTATATACATCAAAGTTCCTGACAATGGATTAAAATTGGTCAATGGACAAGGCTAAATTTTACATAAAAGGTTAAATGCACATACTCCCAAATATTTAAATATTCTGGTTATTATCTAAAAATGATGGAATGCCACAATAAAAAACTACTTAGTACATAACAGGCTATTGTACACTGCATTACCTTCATGGGCAATTATGTATATATAGTCTTTTGTAGTTATAAAATATCTTTTGGCACATACATTATCTAGCTCCTACAAAAGACCATGTAAGTTCTTCAAGAGATTGAACACAGAGTTACCATATGATCCAGTAACGCCACTCCTAGGTAAATCTCCAAGAGAAGTGAAAACATCTCCACAAAAAACATTTCCATGAATGTTCATAAGCAGCATTTTTCATAATAGCCAAAAAGTGAAAACAGCCCAATGTCCACTAACTGATGATTAAATAAAATGTGACGTATCCACACAATGAAATATAAATTCAAAAATAAAAAGGAATAAAGAACTGATACATGCTACAACATGAATGAACCCTGAAAACATGCTAAATGAAAGAAGCCAGCCACAAGGCACCACATAGCGTCTGATTCCACTTAAACGTACTGTCCAAAATAGGCAGTCAACAGAGACAGGAATAAGTTGTCGGGCTGGGGCTGCTTAGGGAGGGATTAGGAAGTAACTGCTACTGGGTATGAGGCTTTTGTTTTGGATTATGAAAATGTTCTAAAATTGTGATAATGGTGAAATTATGTGAACATACTAAAAGCCACTAAATTTCCACTTTCTTTAGGTGAACTGTATGATATGTGAACTATGATTCAATAAGGCTGTTATCAAATAAAATGCAGTACCTTTCCTGCTGTAGGAACCTGATCCAGTGCATTCTTATCACCCCCAGGCTGCCCTCCACACTCACTCTCCTTACCTGGATCCTTCTTCTCAGTAATCTTTGAGATATCCATTTCATTTTGGTCTGCCCCTTTTGTAGCATCTGAATCTTTTACCTCATCTTTCTCAGGATCAAGCTCTGTTTTTATTTTTTTTGGACTTTGTGGACTTTTTCTTTTATCTGATTCATCCATATTTTCATCCATATTATTTTTGGCTAGAAAGAACCATGCATATAGTAATGAAACTGGTTTTCCCAACAAGTTCTAGTTCACTACTTTGTAAAACAAACAAGACAGAAGTTAAAGGCATCATATATTTTCCTATAAGTCTGGCTGACCTAAAGCACAAAAGTAATAACTGAATTTTAGACATGTTTCAGAAAACTTTGTGTGTGAAAAATTATCTAAATCTGTTCACTGGCGGCACCTGTAGCTCAGTGGGTAGGGCACTGGCCACATACACCTGAGTTGGTGGATTCAAACCTGGCCCAGGCCAGCTAAAACAACAATGGCAACTGCAACCAAAAAATAGGCGAGCGTTGTGGCAGCCGCCTGTAGTACCAGCTACTTGGGAGGCTAAGGCAAGATAATTGCCTAAGTCCAAGAGTTGGAGTTTGCCGTGAGTTGTGATGCCATAGCACTCTACCGAGGGCAACAGCTTGAGACTCTGTCTCTAAATAAATAAATAAATCTGTACAATGATTCCAGAAAGTGTACATCAGTGGTTTCTAATTTACTTTGTGTCACAGAACTAGATAAATGCTATTAGAACTAGATAAACGTTTAACAAGGCAATCAAGCTGATGTAGAGATGCAGAAGAAGTGTGGCCACACCAACAATCTGCACTCCAAGAAGAAGGACAAATAAGGCCCTTCCTTTATTTACAGGGCAGCCTCCTACAAGCCGTATGGCCCAAGGGACTCAATAAAGTTACCCTTTGGTTAACTGGGGGAAAAAAAAAAAACAAAAACGCTTGATTCACTGTTCAGAAAAAAAGTGTGTGTATAATTTTGTAATCTATTTCAATAGATTGGACCCTGTGAAGTCTATATACCCAAATGAGCTCTAGGTTAGGAACGTAAGTTTATATAATAGAATAAAAAACGTAAGAGAAGTAACCAAATACAATATGTGACCTTGTCTGGACCTGATCTCTTCCAAATAGTAAAAAGGCCTCTCTAAGACAATTAGAGCAACTGGAATATGGACTGAGAATGAGATGAATCATTTGTTAATTATAGTTAATATGGTGAATGTGATAATAGCATGATGGGTTTGGAGGAAAAATGCCCATTTTATTTAGAGATACATACTGAACTTATTTTGGTGAGATATGATTTCTAGGATATACTTTAAAATTTGCAGAATTAAAAATGTGGGCTGGGCGGCACCTGTGGCTTAAAGGAGTAGGGCACTGGCCCCATACGCTGGAGGTAGCGGGTTCAAATCCAGCCCCGGCCAAAAACTGCAAAAAAAAAATGTGGGCAGCAACAACTGAAACAAGAGTGATAAAATGTGATTACTGTTGAAACTAAATGATGGTTACATGGGAGTTCACTATTCTCCTTGGGTCTTAAGAGGCATTCTTCTAGCTTGGCACCTGTAGTTCAGTGGCTAGGGTGCTGGCCACATATACTAGGGCTAGCGGGTTCAAACCTGGCCCAGGCCTGCCAAACAACAATGACAACTATAACAAGAAAATAGCTGGGTGTTGTGGTGGGTGCCTGTAGTCCCAGTTACTTGGGAGGCTGAGGCAAGAGAATCACTTAAGCCCAGTAGTTTGAGGTTGAGGTGAGCTGTGACACCACGGTACTCTACTGAGGGCGATATAGTGAGACTCCATCTCAAAAAAAAAAAAAAAAAAAAAGAAGCATTTTTCCATGTTTTACTTCCTTCTTCCCTCAAACCTGAAGCCCAAGGAGTTAGCAAGATGTACCTATCTTGGCTTGGCACCTGTGGCTCAAGTGGCTAAGGCACCAGCCATGTACACTCAAGGTGGCGGGTTCGAATCCAGCTGGGGCCCGCCAAACAACGACGGCTGCAACCAAAAAATAGCCGGGCGTTATGGCGGGCACCTCTGGTCCCAGCTACTTGGGAGGCTGAGGCAAGAGACTTGCTTGAGCCCAGGAGTTGGAAGTTGCTGTGAGCTGTGATGCCACAGCACTCTACCCAGGGGGACTGCATGAGGCTCTGTCTCAAAAAAAGAAAAGAAAAAAAAAAAAAAAGATGTACCTATCTTTTTCATGTAAATGATTTCTCCCAGAAAGGGCTGGCTGAGGGAGGGAAGGTGGGTTAAAAAAACAGTATTAGCAGGGTACTGGTAAAAGAAGAAAAGAATCATGAAAAAAGGTAACAGGCTATATCTGGACCCCACAGACAACAAAAGGATAAAAAACTAAACTGGTATGTCCTAACTTAATGCACTAATTATTTAAAAACAATTGGGTGATACTTTCTTCAGTTTTAAAGCTGCTTAAAAAAAGCCTATATATCAATAGCCTCTCCACAAGATATTAGGCACCTGATATTTAAAACAGCCAACTACAAAATGCTTTGAGTTTTTCTCCCCTTTGAAGGTCATTTTGCCATAAAGAATATCCCATACATATTCTTTAGGGAAGCCTAAAAATTGATGTGCAACACAAAAAGCTTTTAAGACTTGTTTAACACAAAAGTCTTAAAGCTTCACTAAGTCAGAGCCAAGTCTAATACTGTGTGGTGTTAGACTTCTGACACCAAGTCAAGTGTTCCCTAAAATGCATATTTCTATTTTTCAAGACATTTGTGCCTCCACCACATGATCATACTAGATCAGCCATTATTATACGTACCAAATAGCTCTGACATTGTTAACTGGTGGTCACAGCGGCCTTCACTATAATTGCTATTCTGTAATTAAGCTGAGCCCAGAGCCCTGGACAATGTGCCCTACTGCTTTCTTTCCTGCTCCTAACTGAGAGAAAAGGCTCAAGAAATGCCAATCTGATTCCCAACTAGATAAAAGTCCAGAATTGAACAATGGAAAACCCTATGCTAAGCAAAGTAGATATAAGGCTAAGTTTGCAAAAGCCAAACAATTCTTTACATTGATCATCTGGACTTTATCACACAGACCCGCCTGGCCAAATACAAGTAAACGAAAAGTTCTTTTGAATTCTAAGTGTTACATGGATAATTGGAGCAAAAAATGGTAACATGTAAGAAACTATACTGATCTTTTGAAAATCATTATAATGGCACTTAATGTAAATGTAATCAGATAATAGACTCAAGAATTAAATACTTTTAATTAGTAAATAATATTTCTATTTAGTAAATATTTCTAGAGCATCTACTATGTCCAAGATGCTCCTAGACCCTGGAAAATAATTTCCAGTGAGCCTTTATAAAAAACATATTTTCCTCTTAAAAGATAAACCAATGAGGGCAGTTCCCATAGCTTTAGTAGGTTGGGCGCCAGCCACATACAGCCAGGCTGGTGGGTTTGAACCCCCAAGAGTTTGAGGTTGCTGTGAGCTAAGATGCCATGGCACTCTACCGTGGGCATAATAGTTGAACTCTGTCTCGAAAAATATTAATAATAATCATAATAAACCAAAGGTAACTTTCCTCTGCTAAAAGTTTCACAAATCTACCAGTTCAGGCTTGACAAGAACTATTCACAAGATACCCTATCAGGTATCCAGGTAAGGGCAACACTAAGCACTACAATCATCTCCCCATGTGGGCCTCGTAGGAGGAAACACATCACAAGTAACAATTAGCAAAGTACAGAGCAGAGCTAACACAACTGCTTTTAAGAAATGCTTAGAGAAAACCTCAAGGTAGATAGCAAAATGGGCAACGGAAGGCAGGAGAGAGGGGTTCTGCCAAGTTCTATTATTCCTTGTCTGTGTTAACTTCACTATGTCACTTAGCACTGCCATGAAGTAATTTGCTCATTTAACATAAGTTTAAAAATACGTGCTTTCTTTAAAAAGTTCATCTCTAGAGTTCCGTGATTCTAGGCTGGGCATGGTGGCTCATGCCTATAATTCTAGCACTCTGGGAAGCCAAAGAGGGTAGATGGCTTAAGTTCAAGAGTTCAAGATCAGCCTGAGCAACAGTGAGACCCTGTCTCCACTAAAAACAGAAAAACTAGCCAGTCGTAGTGGCACATGCCTGTAGTGCCAGCTATTCAGAAAGCTGAGGCAAGATGACTGCTCAAGCCCAAGAGTTTGAGGTTGCTGTGAGCTAAGATGCAAGGCACTCTTCCCTGGGGGACAGAGTGAGATTCTGTCTCCAAACAAATAAATGATCAATAAAAAAAGAGTTCTGTGATTAAAGTTTGGCTGGGCACAGTGGCCCACACCTGTAATCCTAGCACTCTGGGAGGTCAAGGCAGGATGGATCACTTGAGCTCAGGAGTTTGAGACCAGTCTGAGCAAGAGCAAGACTCCGAATCTACTAAAAACACAAAAACTAGCCAGGTGTGGTGGTAGGTCCCTATAGTCCTAGATACTCAAGACACTGAGGCAAGAGGATTGCTTGAGCCCAAAAGTTTGAAACCAGAGCACTTTACCCACAGGGACACAGTGAGACTGTCTCAAACAAAAACAAAAGCACTAAAGTTTATTGCTAATAGCAAAAACTGAATTAATAACCCATTTATGTTAGTATTATGGAAGCCTGTATCATTTCCTTTCTGGCTTTGTTATGTGCAAAAATGCTGACGTTACCAGATAACATGACTCTGCAAGAATCAAAGAGCACTGAATTTGAGATTTTAAAAAGCAATAATTAGGTACCTGAGACCTTTTTAAAAAAGAAGGTCTATTCTGTTATCTTTCTTTAGCAGAAATCCCAGATAACAAAATCCTGTGAACGAAAGTAATTTTTAAAACTTCAAAACTTATAATTACTGAACTACACTGGCAATTCTATACATGCTATTAAAAATTTCAGAAAAGGCTCAGTGGCCAGGGCGCCAGCCACATATACCAGAGCTGGCGGGTTCGAATCCAGCCCAGGCCTGCCAAAGAACAATGACAACTATGATGACAACAACAACAACAACAATAATAATAGCTGGGTGTTGTCGTGGGTGCCTGTAGTCCCAGGTACTTGGGAGGCTGAGACAAGAGAATTACTTAAGCCCAAGAGCTGGAGGTTGCTGTGAGCTGTAATGTAATGGCACTCTACCCAGGACTACATAGTGAGACTCTGTCTCTCTTTTTTTTTTTTTCAGAAAAATGCTTTTATCTAAAACATGGTCAATATAATACAAATTTATAAGAAATATAAAACATAAACAATTATATAGGGAATGAAACTTTAAATACTTACTTCCTTCTCCTGGCTTTCTGTAATTTACATTAGTATTGCCTGGCAATTTAGGAACAAATCTATAAACATGAGTTTTACTAATCCAGCTCCAACCACCATATCCTGTCACTCTGTATTCCTCTCCTTTTTGTTTCCAAACCTGGTATGAAGGAGAACATTTTGATTAAACAACAAGAATAGCAATGCTTTATAAAGCAGATACTTTTTTTTTTTTTAGCAGATATGGTTTTACACTTTTTTTTTTCACCAAACAAGATCAAGAGTCAGCCAAGTTAATTAAATTTATCAGTCAATTTAATTTTCACTGGGAATCAAAGATTTATGAAACAAGTATTTTGTAATATAAAAAGTTAACACAATTTTAGTTTTATCACAATTTCAACAAATTAGTCTCATAACCCTCTCACATTCTACTAAGACAAATGTATGCAAATTGCCAGAAAAATGTACTGCATCCCAACATTATGTCAAAAGTAAAACAAAATTATTAAATATTCAAAGTTGCAGAATAAATGTCTCAGAAATGGCTAACACTATTTTATTTTTAGATAAAACTTACCTGATGTTTAACTGGAAATGTGTATTTTACCCACGTAGCTTGCTGCATTGTTTCTTCTTCTTCCTGTTTTTTCTCTTTTTTTTTCACTTTCTCCTTTTCTTCTCTTTCAATTGATGTCATCCTATGTAACCTAAGAATACATGTGTAAGACAACAGTTACCAAAAAACAGAAGACAGTTACATCTAACTTTGAAAGATGAAAAAGATAAAAATGCAATACTAAAAATCAGGGAGATAAAAATCAAAGATTACTATAATCCTACACAGTAATCCAGACACCCCAATTGACAAAAAAATAGAGGTACGATTCCATAATAGGAAAAACCAAAGAGTACAGAAAGGCAAAACAAAAAAGTACTGCATTTTCCATATGCCTCTCCATAAGAAAAACTCATGAGTTACTCCTAAAGCATTTCATTAATATACCAACATTTATGTCTATCTTTATATAGGCCATTACTTGGCTACATAAACAGTATTGATAGCATACACACAGAAGTACTGTTTTAAATTACTGGATAATTACACAAGAAGATCCTTCCATGTAAGATTTACAGATCTTTTTCTTCTTTTTTGTTTTTGAGACAGTCTCAAGCTGTCACCTTATGTAGAATACTGGGGCACCGTAGCTTACAGCAACCTCAAACTATTGGGCTTAAGTGATTCTCTTGTCTCAGCCTCCCAAGAAGTTGGGACTACAGGCGCCTGCCACAACACCCAGCTTTTTTGTTGTTGCAGTTGTCGTTGTTTTAGCTGGCCCGGGTTCGAACCGCCAGCCTCTGTGTATGTGGCTGGCACCATACCCACTTGAGCTACGGGTGCCACCATGATCTTTTCAAAACATTAAAAAATGTGGCTCCACGCCTGTGGCTCAAGCAACTAAAGCGCCAGTCACATACACCTGAGCTGGCAGGTTCGAATCCAGCCCAGGCCTGCCAAACAATGACGGCTGCAACCAAAAAATAGCCAGGCATTGTGGTAGGTGCCTGTAGTACCAGCTACTTGGGAGGCAGAGAGAGGAGAATCGCTTGAGCCCAGGAGTTGGAGGTTGCTATGAACTGTGATGCCACTGTACTCTACCCAGGGCAATAGCTTGAGGCTCTGTCTCAGAAAAAACAAAAAAAATTTTAAAATAGGGTGGCACCTATGGCTCAGTGAGTAGGGTGCCAGCCCCATATACCGAGGGTGGTGGGTTCAAACCCAGCCCCGGCCAAACTGCAACAAAAAAACAGCCAGGTATTGTGGCAGGCGCCTGTAGTCCCAGTTACTCAGGAGGCTGAAGCAAGAAAATTGCCTAAGCCCAAGTGCTGGAGGTTGCTGTGCACTGTGATGCCACGTACTCTACCAAGGGTGACAAAGTGAGACTGTCTCTAAAAAAAAATTTAAAAATACACCATCGCATGGAAGTACTATAATCTGAAACAGTGCCCTAATTTTTCTCCCCCCCCCACGCCCCTGAAATCCCCCCACAAATGCAAAAACATGTTTGTTTTTTTGAGACAGCGCCTCAAGCTGTCCCCCTGGGTAGAGTGCCGTGGCATCATAGCTCACAGCAACCCAACCTCCAATTCCTGGGCTCAAGCGAGTCTCCTGCCTCCGCCTCCCAAGTAGCTGGGACCACAGGTACCCACCACAATGCCCGGCTATTTTTTGGTTGCAGCCATCATTGATGTTTGGCGGGCCTGGGCTGGATTCGAACCTGCCACCTTAGGTCTATGTGGCTGGCGCCTTCGCCACTTGAGCCACAGGCACCGAGTACAAATGGCATGTTTTATCAACTAATATTTCTGATATTTCTGGTTCTCACTAGCACTGGAGATTTTTTTTTTTTTTTTTGAGACAAGGTCTCACTCTGTCATCCTTGGTAGAGTTCCATGACATCACAGCTCACAGCAACCTTAAACTCTTAGGCTCAAGTGATCCTCTTGCCTCAGTTTTTCTTTTCTTTTTTTTTTTTTTTTAAAGTAGAGACATGAGTCTCATTCTTGCTCAGGCTGGTCTCCAACTCCTGAGCTTAAGCAATCCAGCCACCTCAGCCTCCCAGAGCGCTAGGATTACAGGTGTGAGCTACCTTGCCCAGCCTAACACTTCCCAGGGTCCACTAACATAGAAAACAGCTTCCTACACAGATAGAGAAAGTGGCACACAGGGCTCCATTTCTGGGTGAGAAGATGATTTTGATCGTTAGATGTAAAGCTCAGGCCACACTCATTCTCAGCTAGCCACCTAGCAGTAAGGGGCAGGCCTGTTGTAAGGTTCTATATTAGGTGATTAGATTTTCATGAATAAGAATATTTCTCCTGGCTCGGCGCCTGTGGCTCAAGTGGCTAAGGCTCCAACCACATACACCTAAGGTGGAGGGTTCTAATCCAGCCCGGGCCTGACAAACAACAATGATGGCTGCAACCAAAAAAATAGCCGGGCATTGTGGCGGGCGCCTGTGGTCCCAGCTACTTGGGAGGCGGAGGCAGGGACTCGCTTAAGCCCAGGAGTTGGAGGTTGC